GTACGGTTTTACTAACACATGTCAACATTGCTAAATTGTGCTTAGGCATTTAGATTTGTTTTACCCTTAGGCGTGAAGGGGTTAAAGCCCTGATCATAGTATCAGCAAACCTTGTCACCATAGGACAGTAAGTGTGTTACTGGCACAATCACCATGTCAAAAAAAATAAACAAAAAACATGAAAAATAAAAGCAATTCAGCCACAATATCTAAGGACTGGCAAGCTGTAATGTATTAGATTTTTGATTTTGGGCTAAGATGTCTTTGTCTATGGGAACCTTAGCCAATGATTATAATGGAAATTGACATTTTCTTGGATCATTGTCTTTGGGTTCATTAACGTAAGACCAGAGAGCAGAAGCAACAGTATAGCTAGCAACAGTACGTTTTACAAATTTCCAGAACAGAATATATCCGGTGTTTTGACTGTATAAATCTTGACTTAGTTTTATTATAAAAATAGAGTAGGTATTCTAAATAGTTTTGTGCACACAATCACACAATCCATCTGCATATTCTAGCAACAAAACTACTCTCCCTATTTCCTTGGCTCAAAATATGTTTAGTGTTAGAAAACATAAAGTCTAAAAATCCTTATTGATGAGTGATTTTGCCCAAAGGTTCAGCACTATTTGCAGCAAATCCTATTGAAGTCTATTGGCGTCAAATCTTGTTTTTAAGTTTTGTCCATTTTGAGGGCTAATAGGCAAACTTCTGCCAAAAAGGTATGGGGAGCTGGGAACTGTCCTGAAGAACCTGAAAGTACCAATTATTATTAATATTTTTGTTAATACCATGCAGCAGGCAGAAAGTTGTTTTCATTTTTTGTAAGGCAAAATGTAAGCTTTTTTAAATAACATGCTTGGGGGATGCTTTAAAGCTGTACATGTAACATTTTAATTTTCATGGAAAGTCTCAGTAGCATATACACCATCAGTGCATATTTGACTGTATATATATATATTTAGTTTGGTTTACCCTGGTCTAATTCTTTGCATTTTGAATGCAGCAATTACAACAGGAAAAAAAATGTGGAGTTCACCTTAGTGTTTTCAACCTCACCCTCATTCAGGAATGCAGCCTGGGCAGGCAGGAAAGGTAGGGCAGTGAGCTTTCAGCCCTCCCTCCCTATATCATGCCAGGTTGCCAGGTAACATGCTTTTTAACATTCGGAGGGTACCGTGGAAACGCAGGGGGTAATAGAGGGGAATGGTGGAATTTGGAAGCCCCCTTTGTCATAAGGGGGCATTCAGATATCTGATTCCTTCTCAGTTGGACCACAAGGATACATTAGTACCCCTTACCTTTTTTCACAAGAAAAGCTAAAAGTATAAAACATAAAAATTACTGTATTTTTGTACCTTTAACTATATACTAATTTACTCCCGTATTCATTAGCCTGGTTACCCCACTATTATAAAAGGGGGCTTACAGACTCCATAATAAGTCCCCCATTACACCCACCCTTTTTGGTGGGTACAGGAAGTGGAGAACAAGCCCTTGTCCCTTAGCACTGGGGCATGGGTACTTTTTGCCGGCCCTCGCCAGTCAACCCCATTCTTAAAAGTCATTCAGTCTGCTATGGTACAGGGAAGGGGGAGGCATGCTCACTGTCCTCCTTTTTTTGGCTACTCAAGATGCTTGCCTGGAAAAGAGTATGGTTGCAATATTTAGGAGAACCCCATGCCATCTTGTTTCTCATTTTTTTTAAATAAAATGTGTACTGCCATTTTCATTTTTAAATATTTGCTGACCCTGGGATTACACGTTATGTTTTTTAAATCATTACTATACAATAATAGAGGGGTACAATGACATGTGCATAGAATGCTATCTAGCAGCAACATAAGCTTTTCCATCAAAGGTAAAAAGTATTGATGAGTAATCTGGGCAAAGTTTGATTCACTACATGTTTGCCTAACCCTTTATAATATCGATCACAACCCTGAATCTAGCTGAACTCTATAGTAGTATGTTCTGTCCTTTTTCAAGGCTAATGTGCATGACTATCTTGGTACTTCCATGGGGACATATATTGATTCAAAAAAATTAAATAAAAACACACAGTTTTGTTGAAAGTAGGCCTTTTAATATGACTTAAAGGGCAATGTTAAAAAAACACATACAAATCCTTTAAATACCATGTTTGGGGGGTGAATAAAACCTGAATGTCAATTTGTGGATGCAGTACAATGTATTCCTTTAAAACCGATATTGTTTGTTTCCAAGACAGTGGCTGAAATCTGTCATTTAGCAGTGGAAGCACTATTGCCACTAAAGGACAGATCCTAGGTGATGTAATTGACCAAATATGGTCATCATTGGGCATTGTCCATATATGAGCATATTTGGTCAGTGATATTACCCAATATCTCCAGTTAGCTTATTTCTGTAAGAAGCTGTATGGGAATCTGTCATTTGCACGGGAGCAGCACCCTTGGTTGGTGGGTTGGCAAATAAGCATCGTTGGGTGGCACTTATTGTGAATGACAAGGATCTACATCACTGGTCGATATGATTGACCATACTAAAACAATTATTTTGCTGCGCAGCAAAGAAATTATTACACTATTCGGAGTTTGCTCATAGGAAGTGTATTTCACACATCTCACACAAAATGCATAAACAAACAAACAAAAAATGTGCAGCTCTCACCTCCTTACATGCATAGTGTCTTAATCTAGTGAACTGGTAAGCAAACTTATTACTCCTACTATATAACAAAATAATAGTGTTGAGACAAATTCATTAAAGCTGATCAAGCATAAATCATTAATATAATAAATCTTATTAAATGAAACAATCAATGATATAAAACAGTGAATCTAGCGAAAGTATACAAGGACTTCTTAAAAAATGACTGTAAGAAAAATAATTGTGAAAAAAATGTCCAAGCAAAAGAAAAACAGTGACAATGTGTTCACACTTTTTATGGAACTTATGCTCTTATTTAGCAAGCATTCCAATTATTGAAGTAAAAAATACTTCTTTTCCATAAAGACCATCACCATTAAGAATCCAACAGCTTCATGTGTGGTAACATACTGTAGTTATGTGCTTACCCTCATGTGTGTACCTCCTAAATTACAGGAGGTCAAAGGAAGCCTGCTGCAGGATATCTATTATTATATCCAATCAACAATCATGGGGAAAAAATTCCACTCCGATCAACTACTGGTGCCTCCTCTCTTCTTCAATGTCTCCAAAAAGGGAATTAGCTTAACCCTATGTACAAATGGCAATAGAGTGACATCTAATGCTCCCTGTTTGTCATTTATTGTGCCAATATAAATCATGCTAACATTATACAATGATAATGCAGGTATTCATATGTGTCTGACAGAGATCATCAACTTATTCCATCCACGGCATTTCACAATGCATAAGCCTGACTATCCTGCTGTTGGCCAATTTCTGCCAAAATATCATTAAGCTTTAGGAGACCACAAATAACACAGCAGTGTAAAAATGGCCAAGGAATGATGTTTGTTTAGGGAGGATTGGCAAAAATATACAAGAAACAATGAGTATAGTCAGGAGTTTTACTATAGGAATTAGGAAACTTGAGGTGTCACACCAATATAAAATTGGCCATCAGCAGGACAATTTTAATGAAACACAGCTAGTCCCAGATTTACTGGGGACAAAAAGTACATGTAGAGATTTTTTTTGCAAGAATTTAGACAGTGCAGTGTAAACATGGCCACTAACAGATAGTTTTAATCATGGATGATAGGCCAGCGTATGCCTATCTTTTATTTTTATTATGGGGATAGAATAATATAATGTGAAGTAGTTTAGGTATATACTTACATTTAGTTTTTACTTCCCTTTAATGCAACTGCATGCTTTGAAAAAAGGAAGCTCTAACAACAGATGATGAGTAACAAGTGAATGTTGTGCTTTGAGCACTTTAGGTAAAACTTAAAAAGATCCTAATAAAATAAAATAAAAATTAAGACCCCCCCCCAAAAAAAAATACTACCCTGATTTTTCTTAAATGTTACAATAAAAAACAGTTTAATCTACAGTAAAGGCCCTATCAGGGGTGGACTGACAACTCATGGGGCCCCCCGGGCAATAGGGAATCATGGGGCCCCTGTGTCCTTGCCCAAACTCAAAAAAGCCTATGAAAAAGGTACCAGGGGCATCTCATGGGGTCCCCTATTGACCCTGGGCCCTCAGGCAGTGCCCGAGTTTCCAAATGGTCAGTCCGCCCCTGGGCCCTATCAACACATACTACCTCCTAAAAAAAGAAAGAAAAAAGTTTAATATGAACAGCAGTTAAAAGTAAACACTGACTATAAATCAACCCCAAAATGAAAATTAAGTCAAATAGGTTTCCAATAATAAGAACAAAAAATGCAGCAAAGGGTCTGAATGCATAAGCTAGCAATCGGAATTAAAGTACAGTTTCCTAACTGATCCTTATCCCTCCCTGTGCAGTTTGTCAGCTTTCCCTATAACAGTTTCCAATACACTTACACAATGGGGTCTTTTTTCCTAGGATTGTGATCCCCATCTGATGGCCAGCAACAATAACGATGTATTTTCATGATTGAGGTATTTCAGTAAAATACTGCATTATGGGTAATTAGATGAAGCTGATGATAATAAGATATACATTTATTGCACATATTCTAGACAGATGTACAAATGATTGATACATTTACACATAATTATTTATACAGGTAAATAGACCCCTGTGGTTGCTCTGTGCATACCGTTTTCTAGCGCGGGGGAAAGGTTTATCAAAAAGCTCTTTAAATGCCAATTTTAAGTCTGCTGGCCATAGTTCAAAGGCAATGCAGTGCACTGTACTAGAAAAACATATTTCTCAAGTAAATCAGCACACAAATTCACTAGAAATGCAGTTCTCAAACCCACAGAATTCATATGGGTACCATAAACCTATGGTATTAATAAACCCAAACCTCATATTTTATGCTTATGTATAATTATAAGCATATTGATATTTTTTTTACAGTTTTACTACATACCGTAACCTGCTGTAGAAAGACCCAAATGCTTCATTCTGTTTTTAACCAGTTCTGCTAATTCTTGTCTTTCCGACCTCCTACATAATGTCATCCTTTGTTGACTTATCCTCTCTGCTATTTTGTTAGAATGTCTTGGAACTTTTCTGCTTAGTCTTCTGGCCCATTGCATACTTTTCCTTCGTAGTAAAGGATGATCTGACTGGTCGCTGGATGTGGAATTCCGATGGTTGTTGCGATTCATTGCTGTTTCCTTGGTTTCTTTTGTGTCTTCCCAATCCTCCACACTAATAGATATCTGTGACTTTGTAAGAAGCATAGACAATTTCACTGAATGGAATAAACTACATCTAAAGTAATTAAATTAAAAAATAGTACAAACCTTAAATACAGCAGCTGAACCCTACTAAAGTCTCTATACACTGAATCTTACTACTTTTGCAAGGCTAATTTCCTAGCTTTTGGTACAAAAGGGATATGGGCAGCTAGACACTCACATATGGGTACTAATGCAAAAAATGTTTTTAAAAATACCATAAAGTCAACATAATAAGGTGTAAAGGGCAACAATAAAAATATACAATTTCTTTAACCAACTTGAGCTCTGGAAGGTTTTACCTCCTTCAATACCAGTAGCACTATGCTACTTGTACAAAACAAAATCTATATAATTTTCTCACAGAAATAGTTTTCTTGTGGAGATATTTGATCACCACTGGGTTTTTTCATGTTTTATTATATAAAATGAAAAAAAAACCCAAACATTGTGAAAAAAACAATATTTTCTACTTTCTTTTATAAAACATACCCAATAAAAAATAAAAAAATCTATTTTTTTCATAAATTCAGAACAAAATGTATTCTGCTACATGTCTTTGGTAAAAAAAAAAAACCCCAATAAGTGTATAGTAGTTGGTTTGTGTGAAAGTTATAGTGTCTATGCAGCTATGGTGCTATGGTAATGACGCTGGCTGGAAGGTGCACTAACTAACTACAAAAATAAGAGAGCGCCATGCCACCCTAGTGTAACACAGTTTAATGTTAAAAAATTGTAATAAAACTTTCATCCAATGCACTAACATGAGATTGTACAGTAATTGGGAACATCAAAGTATTTCTGGCCACCTCTCCTGGATTGCTAAGATTACTGTCTGGTATGATGATCTATGGACGCTTGAAGGTAGTCTCATTGACACCGTCCCTGTGAGGCCACCGTTTCACACAGCATGCAGGACCTACTGTGCACACGCCCCATACAGCCGGTGCTGTGCACAGAGATCAATGGAAACAGCAGAAAGGAGAAGAGGAGAGGGAACACCCAGACAGGTTACTATGATAATGCTTTTCAGAGGCATGGCCTCCTTTATCAAGTCATGCCCACCCTAGTTGCACATTGAGTTAAATACAATCCCATAAGCCACCTCTTCCCTGATCCTTAAAGGGGGCATTGAGAAATCCACCCAGGAGAGGCAGAGACAGGACTCTTTACCCGTAAAACACACAGATGGGATACTTGAGCATCCTTATTAAATTCCATAGAAAAGGTATACATTTATGTGTTATATGCATATGAGACAAATAAGGAAGTTAAAATTAAACTTAATAATAAACATATATATAAATAAAACATGATGATTCCAGCAAATTTAAAAAAGCTAAAGGCAGGAGTGCCTGTGTCAATGAAGCATTATCCTTGATGAGGCTCTGGTAAAGAACTTAGGATGTCCCTCTAAAATACCCCACCAGACCCTTAGTTGAGAATGCAGCCTGCCTGATGAGGGGGAGTTAGTGTGCACTCTCCTCCCAAATACATGCCAAGCATAAATTTTCCAGAAGGCCCCCCTGCCATAACATACTGTTCTCAAGCTGATGAGGGAAAATAACCTCTTTCCCATATCCTTAGGCCCAGTAGATGTGGGGATGTGTGGAGGTAATCTGTATCAGAATCTGGAAGCCCCTTTAAAATAAAGTAGTCCCCAAATATCCAGCTTTCCCCTCTATGAATGAGTAAGCGGTACACAGACAAAACATTTAATTGTAAATAAAAACAAAGACACATTTAAAAAACCTCCCAAACAATGTAAAACCAAAGTAAATCACATCATCCAGCAACGTAGATCCATTGTCAATAAATAACACCTCAACTAAAACACGATTAGATGAAGAAGGAGGGACCCCCTAGGACTTGGGACTTTGACGGCTTAAATAGTACCAACAATATTAAAAAAGTAAAAATTTTTATTTGTGAAAAATTATTGTGACACATAGATATACAATACAATAAAATCATATAGAGTCATAGTACAGCATCAAAACCAGAATATGAATTTAAAGGGGAAGTCATTTTTCATTGATTAAAGTAAAAAAAAAATTCCTTTAAATATCATGCCTAGAGAGGTCCCCTTAAACTACCTGCAAAGTTGTACATCTGTGCAGGGCTGACATTTTTTTTTTTAAAAATGACGTTTTAAGAAAACAGTGTGGGGTCCTCCCCCTAATTCATACAAGACTCTTTAGGTCAGTTATTTACATCTGACCGGCAACTTTCAGACCCTGTCATATTACGAACAGGTCAGTGGGTGTGTTTTTTTTTTTGGCGGCAGGACAGCGCTGGATGCTGTGATTGACAATGGATTACATCAATGGAACCATTTTTTTTTTTTACTTTTTTGGCTTTATTTTTTAATTAGAGGACTTGTCAAAAATTGTTGTTTTGTTTTTGTTCAATTAAAGGAATTTTTCAAAAGTCTAGCGTCTTTATTTTTCTAAATTTAACCCTTTAATTAATGGGTAGGAATACAAGATGATGCTGACTCTGCAAAATAAAAATACCTGCCACCCACCGACCCATCTGCGTCAAGCAATCACTGCAATATGACAGATGTGACAGTTGCTGGTCAGATTAAACAATTAGGTGGAGCTAGTGGTGGAATTAAAGGAATTTTTCAAAAGACTGGTCTCTATTTTTTACTGAATTTAACCTTTTAGTGAATGGGTGGAGGTCCAAGTACCCCTTACTCATTCATAAGGGGGGTGCAGCATCAGAGTGCCCCCTTATTTTAAAAGGGTACCCTGATACTAATGACCCCCTACCCACAGCCCCCCATAATTATGGGGCCAGGGTTGTGGGGAAGAGGTTCTTGTCCCTATCGGCATGGGGGCACGTGGCCTGGTAAGCTACATGGAGGGGGGCACTCGATCATCCCCCCCTTTTCCTGCCCTGCCAAGCCTCTGCTTGGACCCCACGCATCCCCCCCCCCATTTTTGTGGGGTGGGGTTCCCCTTAAAAGTCCTACTAGGCCTAAAGTGCCTGGTATGGCTTTTAGGGGGAACCCCACACACTTTTTTTAATTTTTACTGTGGAGTCCCTCTTAACTGAAAGGGGTCTCTGAGGGGAAAGAAAATCATTCCTTTCACTAACCTTCCTACAAGACCTAAAGTACCTGGTATGGATGAGGGGAGGGGGACCCACGCTGTTAATTTTTTTTCTTTTGTATTTTTTTGTTTTATTTTATTTATTTTTTATAATTATTATTTTCCACTGATAGCATTCTGTCCAGCAACACACTTCTTAAGGCTGCAGTGTAAGCAGCCTTATATAGTGTGGGGTGAGGACTTAGCCATGAGACATGATTGGCCACAGTCACTGTGACTTTGGCCAATCATGGCTCTCAGAGCATTGTGCTGTGTTTGGCCAAAGCATTGCACCTGTGTTCAAGTGCATTGCTTTGGCCAATCATGGCTCTCACAATGCACTGTGAGAGTCCAGTGCATTGTGAGGTGCTTGACAACCTTGACACTACTCACTCATGCCACTACAAGCCCAACACTACTATTCACTAGGGCCAGAATTAATAAATATTTAGGAATCTTGGTCTCAAAATATACTACAGATAACATAATAGTCAATGTGGAACTCTTGCAAGTAATTATCAAAACAAAATACAGGTACGATCGAGATTGGTTAGTGAGTAGAGGGGTTATAGGTCATGAAAAGTTTATCAAGATGATGCTTCTACTGAAAATTGTATAAATCCTGTGGCACTCCTTGCCCACACACCTCTCAAATGATTCAAAACTATGGAATCCCTACTTAAACCTTTTGTATGGGGTAACGATAGACATAAATTGTATTTTTCAATTCTTAATATTACCTTAACATATATTACTTAGCTTCACAGTTATCATTTATACTTCACTTGGGGAGTAGAGAGCTCACTAGATTCCTACATCTAGTATCAGCATGTGATGATGAGAAGTTTCCTTATCCCTCATACCTAAGATTTAAAGGCCAACATGAGACCATCCCCAGATCCATGACTGACCTGCTACTGATGGAATCCTTAAAGATTTGTGATTCCATGTTACATAACTTTCCAGAGTTTCTTTCACTCCCATACCCAGAGTACTGATATAAAATTGAGATATTCTATTTCAAACACATTCTAGAAAACTTAAGTCTTTCTCTTAAAACTGAAAACAGAGTTTCAACTTCCCAACCACATGCTCCACAGTTATATTCAACTGGGCATGCCCTGTTGTTACCCCCTCCCGGACCCTTAGCGGCACACTGGACATTGGGTACTGGACCATCAGACTGGGTAATGGTTAGGGGATCAGTAAGGTCAGATTGATTATCAGGCAGAGAGTCTATGGAGCCAAACTATACAGCAAACAGAGAACCAGTAGTGTCAGGATAGATATCAGATGACATGTCACTGGAGTCAAGCTGGATAGCTGGAACACAGGCTGAATTCTGAGTAGATTGAAGAAAAGGTTGAGGGCTCCACCTGGACACATGAGGCAGTTTTTCCAAAGGATGGATGGAACTTCTTAGACAGGTTTGAGCAGATGTAGTTGCAGTAGAAAGCAGGAGGCTTAATTGGCATGGGCTGGACCAGAATAGCTGGTGCAGAGGCAGACTGGACTGTATATCAGCCTGTGTAAAGACAGACTGGACCACATTAGCAGGTGTAGATGCAGCAGAACTTGAGGACAAGTTGGCCTGGATTAACATCCAAGGGCGTCTAGGCACAGGAAAAGGTAGGGGAATTCAGAGAACTTGACATTTAAGGACTTACAGAGAGCACAGGTTTTGCAAACTTTTGCATATGAACAGGAGTGTTTATGGAGAGAGGGCCAGCAAAGCCCTCAAAAAAACAAAAACAAAACGTTTTAGTAATCCCTGCGTGAACGGCTGTCTTAGCGTCATTTGCTTCTGAAAGCACTTTAAGCCTAAAGTAGAGGGGAACAAACAGCTTTCAAGGGGATAGCTTGGGTGGAGCACTAGATTGAGCCTGTAAAATAGA